CACACACACACACACACACACACACACACACACACACACACCTACCTGACCTAAGAGGAATTATATAGTAAGTTCTCCAGAGACTCCATGAGTGGTTTTCCTCTGAGTCACACTCAATGGTATCCATCAAAACTCTGAGCTCTCTTGGAGCCCAAACGGAATAAAACTAAGAACTGGCCATTTAAAAAAAAATTGTCCAAATCAACCTGTTTAGAGAGAACATACCCCAGAAAAGAAAAGAGGTTCCCTAGGAGGAAACTGCATCTTATAAATGACGAAAGCAGAGACTGCATCTCCCACGAGGGCACTAAAGAGGGGCTGCGTTCTTCAACCTTTTGTGGGAATCCAGCCAGTGACAGTGTCACCTTGCACATTGCCTGAAGGTGCCTGTGTGCTCGCTGGGGCCCTTGTTGAAGGGATGTTCCTGAAACTTTGACTCTTTTGAAAAACTCAAGTGTTAGAATGGGAAGTTGGCTCAGTCAGTAAAGTGGGTGCATGCAAGCTTGAGGACCTGAGTTCAATCCCCAGAATCGACTTTAAAATAGCTAAGCTCTACAAGCTAGGCAAGATTGCGTGTCCCTATAACCCCAGCACTGGGGAGGCAGAGCGAGAATTCTTGGGGCTCACTGGGCAGCCCAACTAGCCGAATCGGCAAGCTTCAGGCCAATGAGAGACCCTGTCTTATAAAACAAGGTGGATGGTTCCTGAGGAATGGCACTCAAGACTGACCTCTGGCTTTGGTATACATGAATGCCGACATGTACACTCACATGTATGCTCATACAAACACACACACATAAATTCAAATGCCAGCCTGAGTCATCTCCGGGAAGATCATGGCATGCTGCTTTGATGGCATTTCATCCTGGCCATTTCCAGGTGCTAGGTTAAGGCATTGATCCCAGGGCCAAGGCCACTCCTGGGCATCTTTTCTCACCACTTGCAAGGCATTCTGAGCACCGTGCTAGACCTGGCAATACCGACTCAGAAAAGGATGGGAAGTAACCAGCACTTGGCCAAAGGCTTGGGGTTTGGGGTGTCTTGTTTCACGGGCTCACACAGAGCGGGAACACATGTCTCTGAGAAGCGTGTATGGTCTTAAAGTTCCTGATTCTCAAGCCGGGCTGTTTACTGTCTCTCAGCACCTGAGCCCTGACTGGAAGAACAGGCCTCCCAAGACAGCGCAGTTTTACCCACAGGGGCTAAGGACACCCCTAAGGGCCCACACTCACAGAGCCGTGGCTCCTCTCTCCAGAGCAGGTCCTGCTCTAAAACACTAAGCACCTTTGATTTGGGCCTTCCTCTCTGAAGTTGGTACGGCCACTTCCATCTCACACTTGAAGCAGAGACTCTGGGAGTCTTTTCCAAGGGTCTCCCAAAGAGCCATCGTGTGCTGGAGGGAACTGCTACCAGAAACCGCCAACCCTGCCACCTTCTCCCTCGGCTGTCATGGCAGCCCAAGTGGGGGAGGCCAGTCTCCAGCACCTATAAACACAGCTCCTCCCACCCAACCACAGACAGGAAGCAGATGCTGGCAGGCCAGGAGGCCCAACGTAAACATCTGCAGATAGATCAAAACCCTCAAAAATCCCTTTTTGCCTCAGTCCCACAAGCAGCGGTCCATGACTTCTCAGGAACATGATCCCCACAGTAAACACTCTTGGTTCTGTCCACACGACTGCTCTCATCTATGAACTAAGCTTAGAACACTGTTCCCCCACCATCCCTCCCGGTATGAGGTGTCTGCTGACCAGGAAAGCTTTGGAAAGGGCTTTGCCAAGCACTATGCTAATCAGAAGCCACTGCTGAGGAAGGTGGTGACTCAGGCCCCTGGGTGACAAGAATTTGTGGAGCAGACAAAAACCCAGCCAGCTGTTCAGTCCTCCCTAGGGCTTCTCTGCCACAGCTGGAGAAGGGGACTGTCCTGCTGGGTGCCGAGTCTGGGACCTCCCCATGAGGAGAAGAGCATGTTGCACACAGCACAAGACATACAGCCCTCACTTTGGGCATCCAGATTTACTGTTCTGTGCATCAGTTTTCCATTTTTGGCTTAGGCTAGTCAGGTTTGAGCTTCCAACACTTCTGACTGAAGGAATTGCATCTCTCTCTCTCTCTCTCTCTCTCTCTCTCTCTCTCTCTCTCTCTCTCTCTCAGTGTATTTGAATATTAATTTTATAATCATAAAGTAAACATCTAAAGAGAACTCTCTGAGGCAGCAGAAAAGCCCCTGAACAGGAACTCAAGCCATTTGAATTCCCTGCTGGGCCCATAGGAATTCCTGTGTGACTTCGAACAAGTTTCTTAACCTGGCTGGACCACTTTAAAGAAACGGGTTAATGATACCTTTTATGTATTTGAGCTAGATGTATTTGATCTTACAGCATCCTTTGCCAAGTATTCTTTTTTTTTTCTTTCATTTCTTTCTTCTCTGACAGAGTCTCACTGTGCATCCTTTGCTATCCTGGAACTTGCTATATTGATCAGGCTAGCTTCAAACTCACAGAGATCCCCCTGCCTCTGCCTCCAGAGTGCTGGGATTAAAGGCATAGCCACCACGCCCAGTGCATTCTTTCATTTTTGTTGTTGGTTTGGGGGGGGGTTGTTTATTTGTTTGTTTTGTTTAGACAGGGTCCCATGTAGCGCAGGTTGACCTAGAACTCACAACGTAACTCAGGCTGGCCTCAAACTCATGTTGATTCCAGATGCCACCACTGCCGCTGCTAGCATTGCTTGGGGTCACACTTTCTGTGTGTCCCTAGAACCACACTGACCGACCCGGCTCCGTTAGCTGTGTGTGTCTATTAGGTACTTGAGGTGTGGCTCCATCAAAACGGGAGGTGGGCAAGTGCCGAACACACACTGCAGTTCAAAAGGAAACATATGAGCATAGAACAAAAATGCCCAAAAAACCGCCATCATCCCTAGACTGATGCATGCTGGGAGGACAGTACTTGTGCTGACCTCACGGTCATGATCGCACTGAGGAAAGTGGCCAACAGGCCAGTCACTGGTTTGTCGTTTTCTTCTGTCATCTTGACCCGTTCACTGGGTGGACTCCAATCAGGAGCAGCCGGCCCAGCACTGAAGGGTTCCACTGGACCCGAGGACCCCACACACTGAGCAGAGGTCTGGGGTGAGATGACTTTTGCCTTGACTCTGTCACATTGCAACCCAGACAGGGATGTGAAGACAGCCACGTGTCTGAAGATTCCAGGTGAGTCAAGGCAAAGAAGCCTGCACCCCAGGGGTGACCTTGACAACCTGACTCTCTCACCCCCCAAAGCAAGTTCGAGTTTTAACAAGCTATCCTTTTCATTCCAGAAAGTCACACAGGTGTGTGTGGGGTGGTCCCCAGGACACCCTGGCCTCTTTGGGAAAATATACCTGGATCGGGGTGTCTTCGTTGAGGCTACAAGAAAGAGAGAGGGATCTGAACCAAAGTATTGTTGTTCCTTGGGCTCTGGTAAGGGAGGGAAACTGAGGCCTAGCCCCTACCACTGCTTGGCTTCTCAAAGGAGGCAAGAGGGAAGAAAAGAGATGGCACAAAACCCCCAAACCCAGAGAAGTTGGGAAGACAACAGACTATACTTAAACACAGAGTGAGCCTATGCACATCTCTGGGTGCCACATGGGCGCCATTCTTCTGCCAGAAACAACTCCTGTTGGGGATTTCTGTTTATTACTTTGTTTCACTTTTTCTTGCCGTCTAGAGGTTGAACTCTAGGCCTTGAGCAAACTAGGTAAGGTCTCTACCACTGAGTGGCAGCCTCGGGCCAAGAAACCGCCAAGTGGACACCAGAGCAGTGAGTCTTGCCATGGGCAGCTCAGGCCTCCTCAGCTCTCCTGCCCCTGGCCCAGCTGAGCTCCACAGGGCACTTACCAGGTTTTATTTCCAGGAGTCGAAGCTTTGGGTCCTCTGGTGGATGCAATCGTCGCTTCTTGCGCCAGCAGCGGGCAGGATACGTATACAGCTGGCCCGGAGCAAGGCCTGTGGACAGACACAAGGTAAAGATAAAAGGCTTTAGACCAGAAAGGACATCACAGACTACCCTGCCTAACCTGCCATTCACAGCAAGAGACAACTGGAGCCCAGAGAGGTAAGGCAACTTGTTAGCGTCATCCAGCTGGTCCACAGTTGAGTTAAGGTATAATCTAAGGCATTTCCCAGACCTCTATCTAGTCCATCAGAATGCTCAGCAGGCCCATCACCAGGCAGAGCCACCACCTTTAGCAGAAAGGTATTATCTGCCCTGCAGAGACTTGTAAGCCACCAGGTGTGCAAGGCAGTGGCCCCGCAGTGACTGTCCCTCTGCCCGGGGCCAAGTTAAACAAGCTCCCTTCAGAGAGGAACAGCAGAAGCCAATGAGAGCCTTGACTAGGGAGCCTTTCAAAGACATGGCGTCACAAGATCTGCTTACAGCCTCCTCCCACCCACCACAATCAGCTTTGGGCCGTTTGCAGAGGCCAGAAGACATGGGCAACTCGTGGAGGTATGGCCTGCCCTGGATACCCACTGATATAGCATGTGTTCCTAGACTTCCTGGCCCACCTGCCAAGCCCCATACACAGAAATGGGAAGAGTCCATAGGATGGGCAAGTATATACTGTCTCCCCAAAGCTGTTCCTATCTGCATTTGGCTTCTAACACCACCAGCTTCGTTCCTATGCCAAGCACCCTGCATACACATATGCACATATAACACGCACATGCACACGCACATGCACACACAGAGTTATGGGGATGGGAAGATGACTCAATTGCTACACTAGCGTGAGGACCTGAGTTCAATTCCCAGCACTAGAGGGCACATGTCTATAATCCCAAGTGCTGGAAAGAAGAGATGGAGACAGAGGGGTCCCAGGGCCTTGCTGGCCAGTCAGTAGAGCTGAAACAGCAAGCTCTGGGTTCACTGAGTGACCCTGCCTCAAAGAACAAGGTGAAGAGCGATGAGAAAGATACCCAAAGTCAATCTCTGACTTCCACATGCATGAGTAAGCACACATGTACACACACACCACCACCACCACCACCAAAAAGAGTTAAGAGGGGAAAAGGTTTCCATTGATTGGCAACCATACCACCATTAAAGGACCAAAATGCCCACGTAACTTTGTATGCTAAGTATCATTTTAATGATACAGTTCTTCCCATGTTTTTCAGAATGGTGAATACATTGGAGGTTTGTATCTCCACCCCATTGATTCTCAGGAAATATTAAGGTTGGAGTCAGAAGGTTTAAGGATCAGCCTGCACCAGATGGATAAAAGGCTAAATGAGTCATATAAGTCATCTTGAGCTCCCTGGACATGGAGACAGGGGCAGCTGTGACCTCCCTCTGAGAGAAAACATTCCTCACGATGGCTCCATGTTTCTGGTGTGACTCACTTGAGGAAGATGTTATCTCTGGCCCTGTCATTCCTGGATAGATGCATCTGCTCTGGCCCCACCCAGACAGTCAAGCTGCTTCTGGGGAAGGTCCCCCAGGATCTTAGCAAGGACCCAAGGATTGGCCCACTCCTCCACATCACAGAACAAGTCCTGGAAATCACCACTCATCTGGGGCTAGGGACTCTAATCAGCTGAAATGGCAAATACCTGGAAGAACTCAGAAATTCCAGAGCCCGAAATCTACACCAGACCTCTGATCTGAAGGGTGGTAAGCCTTTAAGAGAATTCAACAACTGTTTTTAAGGAACTTTATAGCTTGTTTTAATGCCTACTGAGAACATCTGGAGGCCTGAACATCGTCTACTAGCTGCTTGCCTGTGTTCTCTGTTATACCAAGACTGGTTTAATGGCCTTTCCTGTAGGATCCTAAATTCCTTGTATTCCCCCAAGGTAATATAATTAATTGCCTGCATACTAGTGTCTCCCCTACTGGTGTTGGAAGAGCTGGGATGGCAGGAATCATCCCATCTCTAGTGTCCCCTATATTTAGCACACCATACTTGGCAGGCACATCTAGGAATCATCATATAAACTCAACAAGAACTAAACAAGACTCAGAAATACAAGAAAAAAAATAATAACCATTGGCTCCGATAGTCCTGGCTCCAGGGTACTCATTCACCAAGACACAAACCATTCAAGAGGGGCTGGGGATATGGCTCAGCAGTAAAGACCTTACCTACCACGTACACCCTGGGTTCAGTTCCCAGAACAACAAAAGAAAATGTCTTGTTTGACAAGCCATGCAAGGGGGGGGGGGCGGCCTTAGTTCTGAGCCCACCCATATCTGTGTGGCCATCTCTGTGCCGTGGGTTTTCTTCTTGCCCCATCCCCTTTGATCCCTGGTATTTCCAACCTGGACCAAGGCTGCTAAATGATAAGCTAGTCCTGACTAGCACTCTCAAAGGGTCTAAGGGGCCCAAATTAAAAAATGTTCACATATGTCTGGGTACTATACGCTCTCTACATTGTAATCACTGCCCTGTGGGTTAGTGTTCCTGACGCCTCCCTACTGGTGGCTTACATCCACTCTCCTGAAGAGCTAAGGCTAGCAACAGTGTGAATGTGGCAGAGGGGCTGATTTTACTTCCTAGCTTGGGGAAGCCCTGTGGTGCAGAAGAATCTCATAAGCATGAGCATTAGGAAACAGCACAGCCTCGGCAGAGCCGGCCTGTAAGTTCAGATCATCTGAACAGCCTACCTCAGGGGAGTATGGTGGGACTTAACTGGTGTTCAAGAGGAATCTCTCTGCAACCATGAAGACTAGACAGAGGTCAGCCGCTGATCACCACAAGCTGGCTGATACAGATGAGTCTCAGACCCCTGTGCCCATGTGACAACCCGGCCCTTGCCACTGCTGGCTCTTCAGCCACCAGGATGGACACCTGTGTCTCTTTCCATTTTGCTTTGAATCCACCTTGTCTCAACAAGTAAATGGGCCCCGAAGCACTCCCCTGGGGCTCCTTGCCTCCTTTCCTCACCCTGCTTGACAAGCTGACAGACACCAGGGCCCCTTCTGAGCCCACACATTCCACCCCACAGTTGCACTTACGGAGGGAAGAGCAGAGCCCCGCGAGACTGATGTTGTTTATGTCATTAGATCAGGGGGCCCATAACTCAAAGGCCTGTGGGGGGAAAGAGGGGGTGGGGTTGGGGGGGCGGGGAGGAGGAAGGAAAGGAGGGAGCCACAACCACTGTCGGGGAAGTTAGCCTTGAGGACTGAGCCTAGGGTTGGGCTGGGTACGGAGGAGGAGGAGGAAGAGGCAGGGGACAAGAAGGGACCAATCCTCCCCAGCAAGCAAGACCACAGCTACCCCTCCAGTCACAGACCCCCTGTGTCAACTGCAGCTCTGTCGCCTGGAGCTGCAGCTCCGAGTTCCCACACTCTGCCCGTGTGAAAGTACAGGAGCGACAGGCACACTCGGGCAGAAACTTGCACATCCGGGCAGAAATTTGCACGCTTGCTGGGAGAACTGGATCCAGAGAAAACTCTGCTATGATGAACCTGTGGCTTAAACGGCCGGCAGGCTGCAGACACATACCTGGCTATGCACGTGGTTCAAGTTTGGGTCTGAGTATCTCTGACAAGGCCTGAGGTAGGAAGAACTGGGGAGGGGACGATGACGACAACAACGACGAGGACATGACATAGAAAGAGCACAGGACAGCACGCCAAGTTGGGGCAGGACCAAGCCCCTCCCCCCTGCATCAAGGCTGAGTAAGGCATCCCGCCATAGGGAATGGGCTCTAAAAAGCCAATTCATGTACCCAGGGTAGGTCCCTGTCCCATTGTCAGGGGCTCCACAAGTAGATCAAGCCATACGACTGTCACCCACATTCAGAGGGCCTAGTTCAGCCCCAGAAAGGCTCCCCAGCTGTCAGTCCAGAGTCCATGAGCTCTTTTG